TACAATCTGGGGAGATTAGAGATCCTGGCGAGGGAAGGGGGGGCTGCAGCAGCCCCTGGGTGCCTGAGGGGAAGCACAGCTCCTCCCCAGCTGCAGCAGGTCCAACACTAGCACTCGGCAAGGCCACCACACTGTCCTTGGCCAACCTTTCCCGGGCTGCCAGTGCCTTGCAAGGTCCACTGCTGCTCTGTGCAGGGAGATTTCTTGTCCCCTGGGTGCCTCAGCCAGCTCAGTGCCTCCTGATGTCCTTTCTCTCCCTCTGTGCTTCGTACAAAGTATTAAACAGGGCAGCTGCATCCCAGAAGGACAGTGCTGGGAGATGTGAGGCAGAGGGCGAGGCAAACTGCGGGATCCAACCTTAGCAAGGGCCCAATCCAGGGGAAAACAGGTCCACCTTAGCAGCTCTCCCATCTAGTCCTCCTCTCCCACTTAAAACCACGAAACATGAAAGTGCACAAATTGATCCCCGGGAGAAAGCTCAGCCCTCGCTGCAAACGGAGAAGCAAACGCTCCCGGGAGATCAAAAGTGGTGTTCTAACAAGTGCTGCACCTCATCTCCCCCCCCCCTGCTTTGGAAGAGCTATGTTTAGCACCTCTCCTCTCCCCAGAGCACCCACCCCCACCCCAAGCAGCCTCAGCTGGTTTGGCTGGAGCAGGGGGAGGCAAATCCAGGCAGGGAAAGGCGGGCTGAGATAAGGGATAAGTGCACAGGGATGAGGCTCCACGAGCAACCCCCCAAGCTGTCGCCTTCGCTGCCTTAGGGTGTGAGCACCAGCAGGAAACAAGGAAGGGGGAGCCAAAAATGTGATGGAAGCACGGTCACTTCGCTGCTGGGCCCTCCCAGGGGGTTGGCTGGCTTCCCTGTGGAGGCATGGATGGCCCAGGATCCTGGAAGGGGAGCACCCTGCATCACTCCCACCCCCCCCCCCCCCCCCCCCCCCCCCCCCCCCCCCCCGCCCCGAGCAGGAGGTCGCTGTTCAGGCTGTGCCGCAGCGGGGCCTTAGAGGAGGAGTAGGCACCGTGTAATTAAAAGTGAGCAGCTGCTCACAAAATGAGCAGCCAGGTACAAAAATTTCACCTTGTGCAGAGAGAGAGGGAGAGGGAGAGAGAGGGAGTGATTTTTTTCTGTTCTCTGATGTGTGACAGACTCCCCGCCACGCTCCGACGCTCCCCATCCCTCCTCGCTCAGCACCGCCCCAGCCACCCACCAGCTGGCACAACCAGAGGGGCAGGAACCCCACCAACACTCAGGGCTGGAGCCAGGGAAGGCTTGGGATCTGCCTGAATCCCTGGGTAGGGGCTGCCCTAATGCCATGAGAGGTGTTGGGCATGGGGTGCAAACCCTTCCCTGCTCCCTGCACGCGTCGGGGAGAGCACGGGATGGGAAAAGCGTGGATACAAAAGGAAGAGAGCACAGGGGAGAGGGGGGGGTGTCAGCAAACATGGGGAGGGGCTGCAAAATGCACCTGTGGGCAGCCAGAAAAAAAAACAAAAAAAAAAAAAAAAAAAAAAAAAAAAAAAAAAAAAACAAAAAAACCAAAAAGCCAGATCTGCTGCACCTTCCCATTGCAGTAAGTGAGATCAGCCCCACCACAAAGCCAGCCCTGGGAACTCATTCATTGGCATCCAAGCTTTCTGTTGGCTTGTGGCACGAGAGAAACAGGCTGGGAGCAGCAGCCAAAGCCAGCAGGGTATTCCAGCACCCCAGCACACAAAGGGGATGAGATTGAAGAGCCTGGGCTTTATTTAAAAGTTCTATTTTCATGCCTCTTCCCGGGGCAGCCAAGCCCTCCCCTCCCCATCCCCGGTGAACAGGCACAGAGCTATCCAGAGCCACCTGGGCAAAAGTGAGACACCAAAGGCCCAAGGCTGACTCCTTGTATTTTCTCCCTGTATTTTCAGCACCAGGAGGAGGTCATGGACAGCACAAATGTGTCCTGAGGTGGGGGCCAGCCCCAGACCTCAGCACACATGGAAATATGGAATGGTCTGGGTGGGAAGGGATCTTAAAGCCCATCTCATTCCACCCCCTGCCACGGGCAGGAGCACCTTCCACTAGACCAGGCTGCTCCAAGCTGGCCTTGGACACTTCCAGGGGTTGGGAGGGCATGGCAGGCAAGGAGAGGGTGGCACCTTACAGGACTTGTGAGCCCAAGGCAATTCTTCCCACCGACAGCAGGAAAAGGGTGGCAGGAAGAGAAGGATAACAAGGATCTGACCCCGAGAGCCTGGCACCTCATCCTATGGATGCTCCCCTGAGCAGCCAGCCCAGCTCCCCCCAGGGCTCAGAGAGGGTTCATTGTTCTCCCAGCCCTCCCCAGAGCAAACAGGCACAGCAATCCTGCCTCCCAACCTCCGAGGGACGCTGCAAACAAACAGCAAACAGAGAGCGAAGCTCTCTGCCAGATCAAGGAGGAGGAACCCTCCAAATCCTCCCCCACCGCTTCCTTTCCCCCCTCAGGGGACACGAGAAGGCAGAGGCCACCCTGCCTGCCCCCCTGCCCACACCTGCCAGCCCCCTCCTCCTGCCCTGGGGGGGTGGCAGCTGAGCCAACATCCGCCCCCTCTCCCGCTCCCCACGCAGATGCTCCAGCAGCGAGGAGGGAGAGGAATTATCCAGCCTGGACGCCCCAGGCCAGTCCCTCAGCCTTCATGGAGCCCTGCATTTGAGTCAGCCAGGCCTTAAGATGCTCTATCCAGCCCAATAATCCCCAGCCCAGGCACTGGGAGATTTGGGAGAAAGCAGCGAGTTAACAGCGTTAATGGCCTTGTTTCCCAACGAAGCGGAGACCACTCTATAAATCAATGTGTGGCTGACGAGTTTCCTGCTGCAGGAATCGGAATTGGAAGAGAAGGAAAAGGTAAAGAGCACACAAATCAGAGAAGAAAACGTGGAATAACCCAAGTTGGAAGGGACCCACAGGGGATCGTGGAGTCCAACAGGGCACCCCAACAATCCCGCCACGTGTCTGAGGGTGTTCCCCAAACACTCCTTGAGCTCTGGCAGCCCTGGGGCCGTGGTCACTGCCCTGAGGAGCCTGTTCCAGTGCCTGGGGTGAAGAACCTAATCCTAATATCCAACCTGAACCTCCCCTGACACAGCTAATGCTAATCAGAGTCACCTCCCTGCTGGCTGGCAAAGTCTGTCACCTCCAGCACCACCGGAGCACCGGGGCAGCCACAGGGACTTGACAGAAGAGATGCCCCAGGTGTAGAAAGCCACTTCCTTCGCCCAAAAACTTGAGCTCTGACTCTGCCAGGACAGACAATGGTTCTGTCCAGCTTTGCAGCACCGTTAGGAAGGGGAAAGGACCACGGCAAACCTCCCAGCAGCAGTGTTTGCAGGCAGAACCCCCAAGCTGTGGATCCTCAGCTGGCACAGACCTGCTGGCTCACAGGGCAAGGAGGTGACCCCACTGCTCAGCAGGCTTGTCTGGCCCAGAAGACGAAGAGGTGACAATCAGGGAGCCCAGGAGAAGAAACCAAAGGGCTCTGCTGAGCTTGATGATGGCACTGTCGGTCCTGTGCTGGGCACAGCCCATCCCAGAGCACTTACTGCCTGCCTCACCCTCACCTGCTGCCTCTGCCACACCAACAGCTCCTGCCTGGGGAAATGGAGATGGTCCTACCCATCCCTCTCAGGTGCAGCTGGTTAAGGGGAGAAGGGCTCAGTGGCTCCCCAAAGAGCCCAGCCAGCCAGGCACAGCTCTTGCTAACACCCCCCCTCTGCTCAACAAACCATCCCTGAGGGATGGTCCTCAGCGAACCCCAGCCAGGTCCTGCCGTTTCACAAGCACAGCCCTGTCAAAGCCAGCGAACAACACACAGGACCGGAGCCACAGCCCCAACCCGGCCACGAACAGAGCACAGCCAGTCCCTCCAGCACGGCATAAGCCCCTTCACCCCAAGAGGGACCCTCCTCCCATGCCCCCCGTGCCCAAAAACACCTCCCAAAGCCCACACAGAGGCATTTACGCCCTGTGAGACTCGTAACGGAGGTGCCTCGTTTGGCAGCCTCCCAAGGGTGGTAGTTTTCCATCTCCTGTGGGGGGATCTTCTGGAGTATGTCATCTGGATGGGCTGGGCTGTTAATATTTTGGAGCCCTGAGCTAGGAGTTACACCTACGTGAGTTTTTATTTTGGCTTTAGATGTCTCCTCTGGTCCAATTATAGATTAATCACATTTTATCTCGCATCCGTTTCTCCCCCGCCTCCTTCCCCACCCCCACCAGAGAAAGGCAAGAAAAAGAAACAAACAGGTTATTAATTGGCTGCTGGGTTTTTGGTTTTTTTTTTTCCTGCTGGGTTCTTATCTCTGCACGTGAAGCTGGAGAGGCTGGGGAAGGTGGCTCAAGAGCCTGCCAGCAAAGGCAGGGCATTTTAAGCCTGGTTTTCTGAGAAAACAAAGCTCCTGTGATGACATTATCTTAGCCTGGGCTTGCCTGCCTGCATCCAGCAGCCTTTAAAGCCACGGACTGATAACAGCCTGGCCTCAAAAAAAAAAAAAAAGAAAAAAAAACCACAACAAAACAAGGTTCCTCCAGGTCTGTGTGAAATCAGAGGGGTTTAGGAAGCCCTGAGCAATAATGTGAGGTGCTGGTGAGAACAGTGCTGATGGATCCGCAGGGGAGAGGCAATCTACAAGCACGGATCACCGGTCCAGGGAAAATGCAAGTCCACCTGCTGTCCCACCTGCTCTGCCAGGGAGGGACCCTTTCCAGCCCTTCCCCACCTCCACCACAGCCAGCCAGGAAACCCTCTGTAGGAAAAGGGTTGCTGTGCTTCTGTGGAGCAACGAGGGACATCGCTGTGCCCTCCCCTCGTCCCAGAGGGATGATCCCACAGGTGTGGCACAGAGAGCAAGCCAGGCAGCTGCAAAAATAGATCAGTGGGTCAGGAGATGCTGCTCCCCCAGCAGCTGCAGGAGGCAGGAGATGCTCAACCTGCTCTCAAGTGCATCCCAACGCCAGGGCTGGGCTCCAGCAGTGAGTTGTACTCACCATCTCGCGGCGTCGGCGGCGTCTGAGTGAAGTAACTGTTGGGCTTGTCTGCAAAGAAACAAAAAACAGGGGGCTGTCAGCAGGTCCCTTGGGATGCTCCCTGCTCCTCCTCCTCCTCCTCCTCCCCCCAGACCTCTGTCCACAGCTTTTGGACCAGCATTTCACCCCTTCCACGTGCCCTTCACGAACGGGTCTGGCTCCCAGGAACACCCCGGGAGGTCTCGCAGCAGGAACGGGATCCAGGAGCTCCAGCTCTCCCACTGGTATCGATGGAGCATCTCTGGCGTGGGATCTGGGAGCAGCCCTCTGTGCCTGGCAGGGCTGGGGCTGGTCTCAGCCTGTCCTGTGATGCCAGCCCTGCTGTGCCTCTCCTCACACACACCTGGGCATGGACTGACCAGCTCAGGTGGGCTGAGCAGCTCTGGGGAGCTCTGCAGCCTCCAAAAAGCGGGGGAAAGGGGTAGCCTGGGGCAGCAGAAGGTGAACACTCCCATGGGCACCACTGGAGGTCCCAGGGGAAGGTGGCACAGCCTCGCCACCTGCCAGCCCTCTATGTCTGGGCAGGGGGGTGACAAAGATTCCGCTCAGATCTCCACAGACCCTCCCGCCCTGGGTGGGGAACACCCTAAACCCCGTGTCCAGCTGGGCTCTGCTCTCTCCTAGAGATGTGCCCAGGGCAGCAAAGGCAGGCTGTGGCACTGCTCTCACGCTCTGTCACCCGGGCCTTGCTCCTGCCAGTCTTTTTCCAATCATCCATGTGTTTTTACAGCTTTACACAGCTTTTCCCCAAACAACACTCCCCTCCAGGGGAAGCAGCGCATCCCAGAGCCAAGCTGGAGGATTTGCCTGCCCTCTAAAGGCTTTTTCTCACAGCAGGTGTTTGGCACTTTCCAGCATCAAGGAGGTCAAAGACACCGCTGCATTATGGAATACTCCTCCACAGGCTGTGCCTAGGGAAAAACCAGCACCTGTGCAAGGATGAGGTAACAGAGCACAGCAGCAAAACGTGGATGGATCCACGCCCAAATTGGGATCTACTCAGCCACAGCAGCGATCAGATTACCAATCCAACCTCAGGCAAAACTGCCCCATCTTGCCCCAAACCCTCTGTTGATTCCTCAGAGCAAGAGAGCAGGGAACCTGGGAGACACATTCCCACCTCTATATAGAGACAGGGCTCCCAGGTCCGGCTTGGAACGAGGGAGCAGCAGTCCTTGGCCAGGGCAGGATGCCCACCTTTGCCCCCCTCACCTCCCACCAGCCCTGCCAACAGATCCCCACCTCACACACGGGCTGGCTGCATCCCCCACGCTCAGACCTCAATCAGCACGTCAGGGCACGGCATTTTGGCGACGGGACAGGGCACACCGAGGGCGCTGGCACAGCTGAGAGCGCCGTGCAGGGTGGGAGCTGGGCTGGCCCACGCACGCCCTCCCTCCCTCCCAGCTCTGCTTCACCATTCTGGGCCAGCATCACGGCAGGGAAAAGTGGGGTAGAGCTGTGGAGCTGTCACCTCCCTGGATCCTCCCCGGGCGGCAGCGGGAGAGTGATGAGACCGCGCTGGGAGCCCCGGCTGACCCGAGCCCTGCCTGTCCCTCCCCGGCCTCCCACACACCCGGGGACACCTACAGTTATTGAGGAAGAGCAGCACGGCAAATCCCAGCGTGGAGGTGGCCAGGAGGATGAGGCAGATGTTGCAGGGGATCATGAAGTACCGCACCACCAAGGAGACCTTGTGCTGGTACAGCCGGTCCCGCTCCAGGGCCCCCGGCGCCATGGGGTACTGGCAGGCTGTCATGCTGGGCCACCACGCTCAGCCCACCGTCCATCCATCCACGAGAAACAGCAGCCACAAGGCTCACATGGATCCCTCTTCCCTCCCCTCCCCAGGCGTCTTCGGGAAAACCTAAGTTTTCCCACAGGTTCCCATCTCGGCTCACAGGAGGGCAGGGTGAGCTTGGGGGGGAAAGGGGGGGTGCACCTTCAGGGGCAGGAGTTTGTCCCCACAGCTGCCATATCCCAGAGGCACAGCTTGGGGTGAGGTCCGAGCCCGCTCCAGAGGGACGTGAACCGCTCCCGTGCTCGGCAAATCCCTCTGCCAGCCCGGAAGGTGTCAATCCACACCTGCCTGCAGAAAGCAAACAACAACCCCGGCGCTGAGAGAGCTCAAGTTCCACGGCCAAGCCCACCGGGACGGGGACGAGCTGCTGTTGCTGCCGCTGGTGTGGGAACGGCACCAAGAGGCGCTGGCTCCCGGGAGCAGGGCTGGGACAAGGTGTCAGCACGGGACCCCTCTCCTCAGGCTCGCAGCATCTGGAAAATCCATATCCTCACGGCAGGGATGGGAGGGGGTCTGACCACGCCGGCAGCCGCCCCTCAGCTCTCAGATCCTCGCTCCAGAAACACGGAGCTTCCCCCGCTGTCCGCGCTCTCCTCCGGGACAGGCGCTCCCACCTTCAGCAGCCTCCGACCCTCCGCAGGTCCTCGCGGCCAAAAAATTCCGGGAGCAGCAGCCCAAGATCCCGGGAGCAGATGCCCGAAAGGTGCCGCTCAGTTGTCCCACGCTCCGGCCGAAGGCAGACGCTCCCTTTCCCACGCCAGGGCTCCTCTCACAGCCGCGGCACATCCATCCCCGCTCCGCTGCGCTCCGCTCCTCCCGCCCAGCCGGCGCTCGGCGCTCCCTCGCCGTCCCTCCTCCGCCGGCTCCCCGGCACCTTCCCAACCCTCCGGCGAGCAGCGAGGGGCCACAGCCCTCCTCGGCCCCCTCGGCACGGGCACCCTCCCCGGAGGGGGCCGGCTCCGCGCCTCACGCCGCTGGGACATGCCAGCCCTTCCCGGAGAGATCCCGGCCCCGCGTGGAGCCCGGCATGGAGCGGCGCTGGGGGAGAGCGATGGGAGCTGCCTGGGCGGGCGGCTGGGTGAATGGGTGGGTGGGTGGGTGGGTGGGTGGATGAAGGGATGGATCCCCTAATCCCGGCGGTCTCCGCCCGCCCCACGCGCGGGGAAGGGGCCGCGCAGCATCGAGACAACGGAGCGGACCCGGAGCGCCCGCCCCGCGTCCCGGAGATTCCCCGCCCGTGTCCCCCCCCTCCTCGCTGCTCCCCTCCCTCCGCCCCTCGGCTCGACCCTGGCAAGGGGAAGGCGGGGGGGACACACCGAGCCCCTCCGAGCGCTCGGCGGCCAACAAAGGGGAGCGGGGGCGCAGGGGCGCGGCGCAGACAAAGAGCGGGAGGCGGCGGGGGTCGCGCTGCCCCCGCTCCCCCGGGACACACGCGTGGGCAGGGCGAGGGCGCGGCACTCCGCCCCGACGGGTCCCTCCCCTCCCCTCCTGGTTGCCCCCCTGCCGGGGTGAATCCCGGCGGGCAGAGGGTGGAAGGGTGGGAGGGTGGAAGGGGGCGAGCCCATCTCCCCGCCCCAGCCCGCCCGCCCACTCGAGATGCTGAGAGGCGGGGAAACCGCTCACGCCTTCCCTTCCTCCCACCACCCAGCATCGCCCACCCCGGAGAGACCCCCAGGGACAGCAGAGCTACGCCTGGTTGCCGTTTTTAGGACATGGGGTGTGGAGGGAGGGGTTCAGACGAACAGCCGGGGAGCAGGAGCAGGACTCAGCTGTGGGGACCTCCCTGGCACTGCCAGAGAGCACAGAGGGGAGAGAAGATGTGCCAGGACACAGATACATCCTGTGCCGCTCCCTACCTGCCTGCTCCTGTGCCCTCCTCCTGCTGCCCTTGGGCAGGATGCTGCCAGCAAGGCTGGCAAAGGTGCCACGGGGACAGCTGGGCTGAGAGCCAGAGGGAGGTCAGGGCTAAGAGCCTGCTGGAGTGAAGGTCCAACCACTGCCTGAGTGGCCCACTTGACCAGTCAGGGCTCCCAGGAGCTCCACTCCATCCCTGCTCTCCACTCAGGTGGATGCTCTGGCGAGACAGCATTCCTGGCAAAACACACAGTGCCCAGCAAGCCATTTCCCTGCCCTTGGCACCCCACATTTAGGGCACCGTGACCTGCCACCTCATTTCTAAGGCACCACAGTCCTTACTAAACAGGGCTGAGCTCTTCCCCACCATGGAGGGAGACAGCAGCTCCAGAGAGCACAAAAAAACCCAGAAAGAGGAAGGTCCTCCGGTCACAGAACCACCTGAACACAGCCTGAGCTGACTCAAACCAGCCTCTGGAATGGCAGGGCTGTGTAATCATCCAAGCCAGTGGACAGGAGGGCTCTTGTGGCCTCCCCTGTCCCTCAGATGCTGGGGAGGGGCTCTCTGTATCCAGCTGTGTCATGTGCAAGGCAAGGCAAGATCATCAACCCCCCCACACTGTGCTCAAAGGGCAGGATGAACACTGTGGAGACGTGGCAGCGGGCAACCCCACTGTGGTCAGACTGGGAAGCTCATTGCAGAGAAGCTGCTTCAAGTTCCTCCTGTCCCCACGTGGAGCAGGCAGCTGCCACAGCCAGCGAGGGAAGCACAGCTTCCTCCTGGCCACAGCAGCAGCCACCACACAGACCCAGGGCCTTCTCCTCTCCCACTGGGATGTCTGGGTGCTGTGGCTCCCTCCTCCAGGCAGCTACAGGCCTGCAGGGGCTGCCCAGCAGCATTCCTGCCTGCCCACTCCTCCAAAAAACCAACAACCTGAGACGGGGAGAGAACACCCCTTTGCCAGCTGCAGGTCCCACTCCCAGCCCCGCCTGCTCCCTCCTTCCCTCACCTTGGCAACTCGCCTGGAGCCCGAGGGACACAAAACACCAAAGAATCCACCCACCCTCCCCTCCCACGGGGAGATGTGGAGGAGGCTGGGTGGTCCTTCAGTGGGGCACCACCAGCCAGCAGGTCTGGGGGGGTTGGCACAGGCAGGGGCTGTGCCCCACAGCCACACCAGGAAGCCACGCTGCTCCTCTCCATGGGCTGGGAGCATCCCGGGTGTCCCAGCACTGCCAGAGCAACTTGCCAAGAGCAGAACAGGGAGGGAGAAAAGCAGAGAACAGAGGTGTGGGTGTTCAGGGAAATCCAAGTCACGTCCCGGGGATTGCTCCTCTTTAAACCTGCGTTGCT